AGGGTATCCCCATTACCAAATAAAAAAATCTTGTCAGTATCGGTATAAATGATGTTTCCCTCGTGTTCCGCTATAGCGGAAACCCCTGAATCTAAAGCTACTTGACGTTCTAATCCAGTTCCAACAATGCATTTTTCGCACCGAGAAAGCGGAACTGCTTGACGTTGCATATTAGAACTCATTAAAGCTCGATTCGCATCATTATGTTCGATAAAAGGAATTAGGGAAGCTCCAATAGAAAAATATTGGAAGGGAAAAATACTTCGAAGATGAACCTGTTCCCATGCAATTGTAAGAAATTCTTGACGGTATCGGGCTGGAACAATCTGTTCCTCGTGAATATCTCGATTAAGTGCCAAAGAATTTCCTGTTGCTACCATATAGTATTCATCTCTACTTGGTGATAAATAAAGCATGCGTATTCTTTTAGATCTCTCAGAGATTTCATAAAATGGACTTTCTATAGACCCCCAACTACCAATCCTCACATGAATTGCTAGAGATCCAATAAGTCCAACATTAATTCCTTCAGACGTGTCAATTGGACAAATGCGTCCATAGTGACTAGGGTGGATATCTCGTATCCGAAAACTAGCAGTTCGCCCTGTCAATCCTCCGGGGCCCAAATAACTCAATTTTCTTCCATGAACTATTTGGGTCAATGGATTGGTTTGATCCAAAACTTGAGATAATGGATGTAATCCAAAAAAAGATTCATAAGTAGTTGTTAATGGAGTTGAAGTCACCAAATTCTGAGGAGTTGGTATCAATTTATGTCTAATTGCTCCACATATAGTTCCTCTAACCATATTTTCTAAACGAACCAGGGCCAATCCAAATTGATCTTGTAATAGATCTGCTACGGAACGAATACGTTTGTTTTTCAAATGATTTATATCGTCAAATATGCCCATTCCAAATTTCATTCCAATCAAATGATCCGCAGCTGTCAATATATCTCGTGGTAACAGAAATGTATTGTTCTGAGGTATATCAAGATTAAGCTTTTGGTTCATATTTCGTCGACCAATCCTTCCTAATTCACATCTTTGTTGAAAAAATTTTTTTTTTAATTCTTTACATAAAGATTCAGAAAATACTGGATCTCCGCCAACACAAGCAAATTGTCGATAAAACTCCAAAATGGCATTTTCTTTTGACCCTATTTTTTTTTTATCCTTATCATTTAGGAAAGACACGAAAATTTCAGGATAACAAACATTCTCTAGAATTTCGCTTAAATTCGAACCCATAGCTGATGATAGAACTAGAATAGAGATTTTCTGTTTCCTACTCACACGAGCCCATATCCTTGCTTTTCTATCAATCTCTAATTCTAATCTCCCCCCCCAATCTGATATTATGGTGCCGGTATAGACCGAAATTCCGTTAGGGTCCAATTCTGAACGGTAATAGATACCAGGGCTTTGCAATATTTGATTGATTACAATTCTGTATATTCCATTTACTATAGAAGTTCCCAGAGAATTCATTAGAGGAATGTTTCCAACAAAAATAGTTTGTTCTTGTATGTCTCTACTACTTTTCCAAATTAATCCCGCGGATATATATAATTCAGCAGAATATGTAAGCGATTCATATACAACATCTTTTTCATTTATTGAGGGTTCTAATAATTGATATGTTTCTACAAATAATTGAAATTCAATTTCTTGATCTGTATCCTCAATTTTTGGAAACTTTAAAAGACCTTCTATTAAGCCCTGATCAATGAACCTACAAAACCCTTCAAATTGTATCTGATTCAATCCAGGTACTGTAGACATTCCTTCATTTCCACCCCCAAGCATTTTCAATTTCCCTGTGAATTTTATAGAAAAATATTCCACGATTTGCTGTCATTCTTTATCAAATCACATGAATCTATTTAGCAATAATGGAATTTTTGTTCTTTTTACTGAATTACATGAAATTTTACCTAACCCTGTGTATGAAATACCTATTATGAAAAGAGAAATAAAATAAAATTTTAAACTCAACTTCGAAGGAAGGAATTCGCAAAGAAAAGAGATATTTTGAACTATTTTTGGAGAATACGATTAGAGTGTGTAATGTAATAAGGCTTGTATTTATTTTACACGCATAGATCTAATTCCAGCTATAGATAGATATAGATAGATCCGTCTCTAACTTTATTGCAGTCATATTCGTTCGGGACAACACATAACATATCGTCTTCATTTTTACAATTTTTCTATTCAATCTATTTATTCAATCTATTTAATATAAATAGAAAAATTGTAAAAAAAAAAGGGAGAAGCACCAGAATTTCCTGAAAATTCCATATAGTATATATATATGCATAAGATACCCGATTAGATAATATTTGTGTAACAATTCCAATTTATGTTCTAGGGTTTACATATACTGACAATTGCTGCTATAATTGGAATGAAGCAGGTTTTTTTTTTTTCAATTTAAAATCAATATGGATTGGTTATATATCAACTTTGATTTTATTATCTCATTAAGTATCTCATTAATAAAAAAAACCATTCTAGATTCAAATATTCAAGAATCATTCATAAATTAATAGTTAATGGTTGCGATTTGTCTCAAGATTTTTATCGTATGTGACAGAAGGTGTAAGCTTTTTTTTTCATTTCAATAGAAAAAAAAAAGGGCGGGTATTCTTATACACTTCATATATCTATTTGGCGGCATGGCCGAGTGGTAAGGCGGGGGACTGCAAATCCTTTTTCCCCAGTTCAAATCCGGGTGTCGCCTTATCGACAAGAGATTTAAAATGAAATATTGTATTACGTTTTTTTTTATAGAAAACTTTTTTACAACAGAAGTTAGCGAGTGAAAGACTTGTTTGATTATAAATTATAAGAATCGGGAGGTTTGTTCTAAAAAAAAATACTGTAAATCTTTTCGTCTCGAATTCAAGGAAAGATTCTAATAGTGAAAAGGAATCGATCCATTTTGAAATGATAGTTCTTTCACTACACAACTATTGTAGTGTACGTCTACTTACCGAGTCTTGAATTAGATTGGATAAGTCGTATAGAGAATTACATTTTTAGTTAGAGAAGGGGCGGAAGAAAAACCTTGTATAGAAAGTATATGAGCGCTTCTGCATTTAATCTGCATTTAATCAATATTAGTTAGATTAGTTAGATTGAATAGTTCATTTAGCTAATTTGCTTTCTTAAAAGTATATCTATATATATCTATATAGATATCTATACCTATATTCTAATAAAATTGGAAAATTATTCTATATCTATATTATAATATAAAATCGAAATAAAATAGAAAATAGAAATCAAAAAAATCTTTCTCTTCACCAACCTCTAGTAAAAAAAATGGATAGGAAAGATATCTTCCTATTATTTTAGAGAACGAATCGGGAGACATTAAGGGATTTTTTCAAATAGAGATAAGAATATAAGTTTGCAAATTAATATGTCTTGATTCTATTTAATTCGATTTTTTTTTTGACTCTGTACCGGCAATTTCACTATTATTATAATATTTTTATATTCTTGTATTTTTAGTTAATAATACAAAAAAAAAATAATAGAAGAAAAATTTTGGAACAATAATGAAATAATTCCTTCATATTGATAGAGATAGGAGACAAAATTTACATGGATATCGTAAGTCTTGCTTGGGCTGCTTTAATGGTAGTTTTTTCATTTTCTCTTTCCCTCGTAGTATGGGGAAGAAGTGGACTATAAGGGTACTAATAATTGAGTTTAAGGGATCAAAGTACCAATTTTGTGTTTTCTACCCCGGTTTTGATTACATTTTGGAACTGTTGAATTAGAGTATTTCATTTATACTAATTAATTGGATTCAAATTAAAAATATATCTGCATTTCAGAGTTCTATTATATTATAGTGGTCTAATGTATTCTATGTATATTGTAGAAATAGAAAATACTCTTTCAATCAAACAAATATTTGAATTATTCCCATATTTATTCGTATTTTGAAAAAATCAACAAGGGAATCCAAAATAATAGGAAATTTATTCCTATTCCAACCGAATTCTTCGTAAAATTTCTATTTCGATGAACTGACTCTTACCTATATAGAAAATGAGGGACCGCGTAGCCCCCATTCCTACTTTTTTACCCCTTCCCTCTTTTTTTAAATGATATTGATATTGTAAAAAGAATCCGAAATCTAAAAAAATTAGAATCGGAAGAATATGAGTTGTTTTTTGATTATTTCAGATTTCTTGGAATCAATACAAATTAAGTAGATGAAACTCAAAAAAAAATTAAAAAATTTTGAACGCAATTCTATAAAATCCAGATAGTAGAAATGAAATCTATTTCTACTATCTGGATTACACTGATTGTAGTCCGATCATTTTTTTTAGACTAAGACCCTAAAATGAAAACCTTTTTCATTTTTTTTATTAAATCATTGATTATATTGATAAAAATTAGGGAGTCATATTAATATTAAGAAGTAATATTTAATCGAAATTAGTCACTTTTACTTACCGTTTTTACGTAAATTATAAGTAAAAAAGCAGTAGGAACTAGAATAAACAGTGCAGTAGCAATAAATGCGAGAATATTTACTTCCATAATCTCTATATATGTTTTATTTCTCTTCGATTTCCAATAATAAAAATTAGGGATTTAATCCCATAGAATATAGATGATAAATCTTTCATCGATAAATTCAACAATGGTATAAATTTGATTTCGATGATATGATATTAAATCGCATCAATATCACGAATAACAATATCTGAGCTATCAAATCGACTCATCGTCGAGAATTAAATAGTATACCATAGGAAGATCTTTTATCCATACTAAATAAAACCAAAAAAACATTTCTTTTTGACGCAATTAAAAATTTCCTTTTCTTTTTTTGTCGAAACCTTTACCTTACCTGAAAAAAGAAAAAAAGCAGAAGATATCCCTATTAGGAATAAGATTTTGTTTATTCTTTTGATTCCCTTTCACACAAAAAATGAATGGATGTCTTTTTGATTGGATTTGTATCCATCGGGACTGACGGGGCTCGAACCCGCAGCTTCCGCCTTGACAGGGCGGTGCTCTGACCAATTGAACTACAATCCCAGGGAAAAGGGTGTATAGCATACACATTTTTACGGTATCTTTCAAACCTTTTTTTCTATTTAGGATTCGAACCATTTTGCTGTAAATGAAAGAGGAGGATTTTTGTATATCTATCTATATATAGATAGATATATATCGATATCCACTTTAGTGAGATCAACACAGATTACGTTTGTTATTGACAAATCTATTTTGAAAATTTAATCAATAAAAAAAGTTTTTATTTTCCTTATATTTTCGATTTACAGATCTTGATATGAATCTAGATTATTTGAAATATTCGAATTTGTGGAAATATGAAATAAAGAAAAAAAAGAATAGCATTTAGGGATGTTTCAAATTTTGATTCTTCCGTATCAGAGCGCATCAATCATTTCCGGAGAACAATAAATGGGTTATATAATTTCATTGTGGATCGGCAAATTCTTGGGCCGAGCTGGATTTGAACCAGCGTAGACATATTGCCAACGAATTTACAGTCCGTCCCCATTAACCGCTCGGGCATCGACCCAGGAACAGGAAGAATACATTTCCGTTTTTATTGAAAATTCATGATCAACTTCCTTTCGTAACACCCTACCCCCAGGGGAAGTCGAATCCCCGCTGCCTCCTTGAAAGAGAGATGTCCTGAACCACTAGACGATGGGGGCATACTTGCCCGACCGCCATTATACTACGTTCATAGTATGAACAGTTTTTTGAAATTGTCAATATAATAATATGATTCGATCAAAAAAATTTTTCCATCTTTCAGAATTCCATAGAAATTTTGGATTCATCATTTAGATTTCAAATTTGTTTATTTTTATTTCAATCGTTAATAATAATAAAATGAAAAAAAAAAAATAAGTAATGTAAAAGAAAGTCAAATAAACAAAAAAGCCTTTGCAAGAATGATTGCTTTGTTGGAAAGGACGGGAGGTTAAGTTAAAACTTTATTTCTTTCACTTTCTTTCGTTC